TCCCATTTTTAAAATGTGCATAACTCACTCATATTAAGTCAGAATTATTTGATTTTTTTCCAACATGTAATTTGTAGTTTGTAATTCGTTTTTTACTTTATAAACATATGTTTTGGTTAGATATTGAATCAGATACATGCCCCAAAAGAAAGAATATCGATGCTGTGTTTTTTCTATTTCAACATTTTTTTTTGTTTTTTTGAATCTGTCCCATTTTTTAAATGCATATGTTTTGGAGTTTGTACTTTATTTTAGACTATAAAAACACATATTTTGGTTAGATATTCAATCAGTTATAGACCCCAGAAGACAGCATATCAATGCTGCGTTTTTTCTGTTTCAACATTTTTTTTGGAATCTGTCTCGCTTTTAAAATGTGCATAACTCACACATATGAAGTCGTAATTACTTGATTCTTTTTTCATCATCTAATTTCGTGTTTGTACTTCAGTTTAGAATGTAAAAAGTCATAATTTGGTAAAATATTGAATCATTTACAAACTCCGGAAGATAACATATCATCTATAGTATTTCAACCGATTCGAGTTTGAAAAATAACCGAAAAACCGGGACCGGAACCGGCGCTAGAACCGACGGTCCGGTTCCCGATTCTTATAATAGAAAAACTGATTCCGGTTCCGAACCGGTCCGGTTCTAAAGCTCATCCCTACCAAAAAGAAACTTCCTGAAACCGGATGTTACATATTTTTGACAAAGGCCTCTTGATTATTAGGCATAAACAAACAAGAAATCTTAGTTAGGGTAATTCCGTTCAAAAGTGACAAAATTAAAGGCTTTTCATGTCAAAAGCCCTAATCATAATGGTTCATAGTTTGAAATATATGCTTCCAAAATTGATGACAACTAATTAGTATAAAGGAATAACAATTTTTTTAAACCACAAAATATACTAGTCCTTCATTACTTCTTTTGATAAAGTACAATACTCCTTAACAATTTTTATTTGTCATTGCCAACCTTCAAAAGAACTAAGAAATCGATTAATCTTTTTGATCATCTATCGTCAAACTTATGGAAACAAATTTCGAGGATCTTTGTATCATTCATCATCGGATTAACCCATTGGGTTGATTAGCTTCAGTAATTTATTATAATGAAAATAAGATTTAATAACCTTGGTTGCTGCCACATCAACTAAATATTTTAATCATCAACTACACATTTTAATCATGACTCTCTTTGCTGATAGAAACAACAGAAAGGTAAATTTGTTTGAGATCAAGTGGATATGGGTTTTTCTTGATTTTGCTAAATGATTATGATGTTTTGGGATGAAACTTTTGATTCCTGCACTGTCGCCACTACCAATCACCGATAAAACACAATATATCCCCACTTTTTATGATAGAATGCAACTTTAACCTATGATTAAAGATGTCATGGTGTGTAATCGATTTTGGTTTGAAGCTCGATTTCTAGATGGGTGGATGTGGAAACCGGAAGATTTTATATGCCCAACATTCATTATAGAATAATATTGATAATGACAGATGATCCTATAAGGTCACACCTTATAGCAAGTTACTACTAATTGATTATTTATTAGTATAATTTGATTATTAGTATATATAATCAACACTTGTATTTAATTGGAAAAACTTTATTTTATGAAAATAATATTTTCCAACATATTGAGAATTACTGTTTCTAGGAAATAATAATAAAAGAGAACAAAAAAAACTAACTTAATATCATATGGTATGAATTTAAATGTTATCTATAACCTTTTGGACACTTAGAGTAATCATCTAGTTGATATATAACTATCTAGTTGGAAGAAAAAGCAAAAATTACAAAACATCATCATTCTTCCCTCTCCTAGATGTGGCTTTTAAGAGATGAGGGACATGGTTTGTTGCATTGTTTATTCTAATACCCATGTTTGTCCTTTTAATCGATGCTTTTTCTAGTAGATGGTATGGTCTATTGGTAATAAGGTTCTAGTATTTAAAGAAGAGTAAGTAACCAAAAACTATAAGTTTTTTTATCACTTTTTCTCTCTTATTTTGGCTGGAAATTTCGTAGTTCTCTCACCCTCCCATCTCCTACTATGTCTTGCAATTTGGTGCTAGATTAAAGGCTCTTAGTTGCTTCTCATTTGAATGTATTTTTGGTATTTACTTTTAAGTATTAAGAAGACCTAACATACAAGTGAAGACTAACATCTTTGGAGGTATTTCCTTGCTTGGTGGATATCTCTAGAGAACTTCTATTTTGAAGTTTCATGCCACACTTCATCAACTTTTAATCTCCCATGACAATCAAAGTCTTCAATGGTTGTAACACTTAACTGTCTATGGTTTTTTTTTAATCTTCCTAAGCTTTGCAAAATGATCATTGGTTGGTAAAATGGTTTTTAGTTTATTTAAATCTAAAAATGCTTCCGTTGCCAATTTAAGATCTTCAATCCCAATTTTCATCAATCATTGTTAGGGATGTTTGGGATTGATTTTCAAAATAACTTATTGACTTATCAGCTTTTTAAAAAGTCAATAAGTCTAAAAAGTGTTTGGCTATTGCATAAGTGATTTTGAATGTGACTTTTTGACATGATTTTAAATGGTATTTCCAAAAGTTAGGGATCCCGGTTTTTTGAAGTGCTTATGGCCTTTTAAACTAAAAATGACAATAACACCCTTAATGATCTCTCTAGCTTTTTTTTCTTTTCTCCTTTCTTTCCATACCCTTTTTAGTCATTTTATAATTATAAAGTTGTTTGTCATCACAAAAGTTGCTCCAAACACTTTTTTAAAAACTCATATTGTCACCACCATAAGTCAATAAACACTTTTGCTCAAAAATACATTTGGATATTGTTGTTAGTTATATTCAATATCACAGTCGTCGGTCTATTGATTTTGAAAGCCTTAGGCGAAAAGTAAAAATGGGCCCTAGATATGATTATTTATATAGATAAGTTGATATTTGTTATAAAATTAATCAAACAAAAATTGTCAATGATTCTATCAGTAATTTGTCACTAGTCTAACTTTTGTTCTTGGCTCACCCTCATCACCATCTTCAGCATAAAACTAATAAAGCGCGTGTAATATTTTGTAAGTTGAGTTACATGGTGCATAACTACAAAATGTATATATTGTCTCTTTCAAAAAAAAAAACTACAAAATGTATATGGTGTTATAAGAATTACATCTTCAACGACTCCTTTTAATCAAAATTTAAGGAATATGTCTTTGGTGGTTGGACCTTCAACAAATTCAAAAGTTGTGTGTGTGATACAGGGTCTACTGCATAAACAACATGAGCAGAAACTCCAAGCCTCTTATAAATCATGAAAAAAAAATCAAGACTCTATGTTGGCACTGGTGTTTCCCTTCGGCTAAAGTTGCATTTAGTTCTACTTTTCATAACCACTAAAAATGAAGTCATAATTCATCAATATTAAGGACAAAGGAAACATGTTTAACTCCATAAAAAGCATTACCATAACCAAAATGTGCATAAATTTAAAACAAAAAAGAACTTACCGATATGATGAGGACTTCTATCAGAACCATGTCAGATTGATCCACCTTTCATCCTCCTGGTCAAAAATACAGTAAATATTTCAAGCACAACTATGTTTATCGAAGACATTCAGAATTTAATCTAATTAAATATTTTAAGTGTGTACCTCCGAAATAAATATGGTTATCTCAAGGAAACTTGTAGAAACAATGTGAAGCAAACTCAAAGTAAAACTACACTCCAAATTCATGTGGACATTTTATCAAAATGGTTGTTATGCACATTCAAATCTTTTAAACCAACTTAATCAATTCCATGAACACATATTTTTTGGTTAAAATTGAAGCCTTAAAAAAGATAAGTACAAACTTACCGATTAGCAAAAGATAGAGAACAAGGTGAGCAGTGGTGGCTGTAGATAGAATTGACATTGACAAAAGATAACCAAATCAGCCATGGGTGAACATAAAATCAAACCACATGTTTCCAAGGAGAATTAGGATTGAATCCAATACATCAAACAAAGTCTACAACATAGTTTGTTCCTCCTAATATTCCCAGCAGTGTAGCTATCAAATTATAAAAAAAAATGCTGAATCGGTTCCTGATTTCTTGGGTAATCAAATAAGAAAGGTAGAATTCAAATTGCAAATTCTCTCATATCACTAATTAAGTGGCTGATTTTTAGGGTTGAACATGGAAAGTTTATATCTAATACAATTTCTATGCAATCCTCCCTAATAAATATATATATCCTCATCCCTAATAAATAAAGAACTTTTTGCCACATGTCACATTTCTCATTGATTTGGCCACATGTCATTTTGTGGTTATTTTCAATTAACTTTTTTCCACATGGAATTTTGTTGTTTTTTTTCATTTTATTAATTTCCATATAATATTTAAATGTAATAATTACAATAAAATGTAATAATAAATTCATATCAATTTCATTAATTGACTTACTTCTAATATCAAATTTTCTAAATTAAAGTTTCATTAGTTTCCTTTCTTTATTTATCTAAATTATTTGTTTAATTTAAAAAAAAACAAACAATTTAATTTTGATAATTCAATATTCTTCTATTTTTTTTTATAAATTCAAACTTCTCAAATGTTTAGAATTTCATATTTTTTTTCTTTAAAATGAACACATGTAATACATGGGAATAAAATCCGAAAACCTAAAACATCCAAATCCAAAATCCAAAATAAGAAAATAATATCTTAGTCCTATCAAAATCCCATATCTTTTCTTTCACCAATAATGATTCCTAGTTCATCTTAACAAAGGAAAAGAAGGGAAATGGATGGAAGTGAGAAGAAAGTAAAAGATTTTTGTGTAGGTGAGTTTCATTAAAGGATGAAAGTGGAAGGAAGTGAAATGATCACTTTTCCTCCTAAATTTCCTTCGAATTTGGAGAGAAATGAACAAAATATTTAATTTTCCTTTTACTTCTCTCCAACTTGGAAACACAATACACAAATTTCTTTTCCTTTCTTTTCTCTCCTTACTTTTTTTTTTTTTGCGAAAATTCGGGAACCAGTAGAAGGTGCAGTGCATGGGATGGAAGGATTTCCTTTTCACTTAACCAAATAAACTCCTCAGCTTCTTTAGCTCCAATGCTTTTAAAAGCAGCCACAAGCGTCTTAACATACGCAACCACGTTACCTTTGAATTTATCCGAACAGCTGACGTCATTATTACCCTCATCCACATCCTGTACACCTCCCCTCACAAGACACCCAACTTGCACACCTTCTGTATACGCCTTACACGCCATCAAAATATCACGCACGCGCTTTCCAAATGCCCACTCACCAAATCCTCAAAGTTCTACACCATCCAACAAACCCAATATTAACCAACATGCAACGTACTATTAAAAGAAAAAAAATGTGAAAATGAATTTTTTTTTTACATTACCTTGGGTGGTTTTTTCATGGTATACACCATGGTTTTGAGTGATAGGATAAGAGTGGATTCATTGTATTGTATGGAACTTTTTTCCCCATACACGGACCCACTTGTTTTTGCATATACAGGTTCATTGAAGTAAGGCTTTGCGTTGAGGATGAGACCCTGTATAGACACAAGGACTTGGAGCATGGTTGAGGTCCCAGGGATCCACATCTCCTTTTTGCCACCATCCCATGTGTTCAAAAGGCTCAAGCAGACGTAACCACAATCGTAGAGATTCGGATTGATATGAAGGCCACCAGAGTGATAATGCACAAGCTGAAATAAATAATCATTCAAATCTATCAACATCAATCACATAACATATATAATATATATGGCATTAAGAATTGAAGAAGAAGACAAGACAAGACAAGACATACAGGTGGGGTGTTAGGATAGCTGCTTGGAAAGCAGACATCGAAGAAGAAGAGGCCATCATGATATGGGATACCCTCTGCTCCAATAATTACAGCTCTTAAAAGATCCATCCTTGATTCATATGCCCTAACAAATATTGTGTCTGTATACAACAAAGCATCTCTTCTATTCATTTCAACTTCTAATAAATTAATCAATTTCGATTTGTGAGACATACATACATATATACGTACATACCAGGCAAGTCTTTATCAAGAATCCTCCACTCATCGTGTATCTTTTTAGCCCAATTTTTCGATGGCTGAAACACATATCACATATATGCGTATGAAAATAAAACAAACAGCATATTAAGTATATTAAATCCAATAAAGGGGTTGTTTCTTTTTGACTTAATCAATAGGCTAAGCAATTAGTCTGGACAGCTATATATCGTTGTTTCTTCTTTGAGCTAATCTTGAAAGAACGACTTAGGGTTTGGGATTTGCTTATTTAAAAACTTATGCTTTTTTGTAAAATTACTTATTAGCTTATGCGGTATCAAAACGAATTTTAGGAAAAAGTGTTTGGATATGGTTTCCATATATACTAAGCACATTTAAATAAGATAGAAGAAAACAACTTATTAAACACTTCTTACCTAAGTCAATAAGCAACTTTGATTTATTTTCATCCACACAATCAAAACTGCTTATTAAAAGTACCAAACTACAATAATGTATTCAGACACTAACCCTTAACCTATTTGCCATTTTTTTTTCCTTTCAACTCCTCTCACGTTAAAATTGATTAATATTGTCAAATTTGTTTTTTGGAATGTAAGGGTAAAATATTCATTCAGTCTCTTTTAAGTCAAATTATACAGTCTAAAAAAAAGAAGAGCTTATGTATGCAAAACTCTTATCCAATAGATATAGTTACCCATACAGGACTTTAATGGAAAAAAATCCCCAAAATCACACTTACTCGATTCGTTCGTGAACTCTTTGTTGCATAATAATGATCAGAAAAGTCAACGACCGTATCAAACTTCTTGAAGCTCTCATATCTTTTGATAACATCTTCATTATCAACAACCTTTGTCATGCTAGAAGAACTTCCAGTTAAACTTGAACTCCTAGGGTTATTGAAGGGCACATTTTCATTTTGGTGTTGGATTTTTTGTGGGGTCTTAAGAAATGAAAGATTCTTTGAACTGTTATTTGCATGTAGACCAGAATAACTAGAAGAAGCCTGATCATGTTTAGATGAATTCTTTTCCATTGGGAAGTTATCTGGAAACCAGGGAATTTGAGCTTCGATATGAGTAGGTGTATCCATACTATCAAAATGGGATTGCAATTGCAAAGCCAAATCCATGGAATCATCATCCTCGAAAGCATAATCATCTAAATCAAAAAAGTTTTCTGCTACAAAGCTCTTTGAAGAATGGCTGGGCCCCACTGAATCCATTTGCACACCACTGTGCCTTGAACCTTGTTCTGCATTACTATTACTAGGAACCAAAGATGACTATAGAAGAAGATGCAAAAATACAAGTAAGGAGAATACTATATCATATATATTTCAAAAGGTCAAGAATCGTAATAAATTGGGAATCAAGAACTTATTATACCTTCATCTTTTTGTTCGATCGCACCTTCCCTTCCATGAATACTACATCATTGCGGTCTTCATCAATGTCAACGTCAATTATTTCATGATAAGCAACCTGACAAATTAATGATGAGATATGAACAAGTTTGATGAAACCAAGAAACCGGCATTGATGATACGAGTTATGTACCTTCTTTTGTTTAAGCGCCTTGGCCTTTGATTTCGAAGTCTTATTACCGGAAGGAGGATAAATTTCTATCCCTTCGGGTTCCATATACGCAGATTTACTACTCCCCGGAAACTCTCTTTTACTAGAAAACAGAATTTACAAATATCAATACACAGAGATAACTCAATAACAAGAACTGATATGATCAGGATGTTTTACTTGGATTTCGGAGGGTTGTATCTCTCCATATCGGACGATTCCATTATTCGCAATTATCAACAGTAAAACAGAGGATAATGGGGGAACTATCGATCCCCACAAAATCCTATTTTCCTGGGCTTTCCCACTCCGATCAACAATGCTGTTTTTTTTTTGTACACCTTTCGGTTTGTAGCCTTGCGGGCTTCCCAACCTTCTTATCAGCCCATATCATTAGTTTAGTTGTTACTTCCACGACATAAAGTACCAAAATAAAACTGTTAGGTATGTTAAATCATAAATGGAAAAAGTAATATATATCTAATGTCCGTTCTTGTATATTATACTTGTTTTATTCTGGTGATTATTAGGAACAACTCATTACTCAATGAGCACATTACCGGTATCTTATGAGCATCTTTCGATGACGCGTGGAAAGATTCCGCACTGTTTGATTTCATAAGATTATTGCAAAGACCCAGATATTTTGATCCATTTCTTTTAAGTACTTCCATTCGGCGTGTTTGTTATGATGTACCGCTTCCATGTAGTACTCAAAATCTTCCACTCTATAAGCTATTGCAGCCTTCCTGAACAAAGTTTTTGTTGTCACATTTTTGTTGTACTTGGCTACTATGTTTGGCAAAAGATGAGAACCACAAACACCATGATACACATTCAGGAATATATTAGCAATGGACATGACAATGGATGACGCCCTATCAGAAATGAATGTTAATGGTTGTAAGTCGCCGATACAATAATGTAGTTTTTTTTGTACGAACCATGACTACGACTCTGTGCACCCCGATCACTCTTGGCTATTCTATATGAAACTGACATAATTTGGTTGTTTTTGTCCATTGCAAACACCAACAACATGGTACCCTTGAATTCACCTTTAAGGTGGGCCCCGTCTATCATGAGGCACGCCGACAGATGTTGCGAAATGCCCGTAGGTAGACCATAATAAAAAAAAGTTAACAAAACACACAAATTATAACTATATAAATATTGAAATTAATCAAAATAGACCAAAACAAGAATTATAACTATTATCATGCAACCAATGGAGAGAAACAAGAACTCAAAAGGGTTTTCATCATCAATCTTAATGTATGTCGCTTTACCATGCTTATTCTTATATAGGTTGTAATAGTGTACTATATGGGGAGTTTAGGAAATGAGCTTGCTTGAGAGCCCCTCAGAAAGATTAAACGTGAATTGTTTTGCTCGCCATACTTATTTGTAGGAAACGTGGATGTTGTACCTCAAATTGAAATCTAAACAATAAATAACTACATACCATGAATCAGGTAAATGAGAGAGAGAGAGAGAGAGTAGAAACATAAGACGAAATCTCAGACCCTTAAATTTAAACTTGATGTGCACTGATTGGTCCATAGTCTTCTTCCTCTTCGTCAATTCCCAGGGCTCACATAATTGGAACGAGGTGCATCACCACAGTATGAGACCATAAGAGGTGGTGAGGGTCGAAGACAAAAGAGGGGTGATATCAGAGACGATGAGGGGCAAAGACAAAGGATGGGTGATATGAGAGAACAGATGGAAACAATTGTAGGAGAAGAAAGCAAGGTTTAAATTTTTTTGGGGATTTCCTTTTCCCTCTATGTACTCACATTTCCTTAAAAAAATTGTAAAACGACGACAACTTTTAGGACAAGAAAAGATGCGTGTCGTAAATCTTTTAAATTTTATAAGAGATGGCATTTTTTACGACACCCACTTTTGTATTTCATAAATTCAATGTGTGTCATAGTTCACATTTTATTAAAGGCCTGCTTTCTAGTAGTGAAAAATGATTGGTTGGGAATGATTTTCACGTTCTCAACCATTTTATTTCTATTTCAGTTAAACTTACCTCTCTCTCTCTCCTCTC